TTCAGCTGAGGAGAAGCTTTGTGCTTTGCCCTCTCTCCAAACCAAATTTGTTTGTGTTTGACAAGCATAACATTAGCTGCCCTGGCATTCTTTAGTGGCTGCTGACACTGATGAGAAAATATATTGCACTTTTTCAGAGGAAAACAGGAGAGATTCATCTCACCAGGCTAGACCTCCAATTTCAAGAGGAAAACAAGTTGTCCTCAGCTCACCCAATTATCTTTCCATCAAATACTGGTGTATTGCACAGGAGGTTATATATATATGTATGTGTGTGTGTGTGTGTGTGTGTGTGTATGTGTGTGTATATATATATATATATATATATATATATATATGTATGTATATGTATATGTATATATATCTCAACCTCCCCCTTCCTTTCACTTACATTTTTTTTTTACTTCTAAGTGCTTTGTAAGATAAAATGCTGAACATGATATGTTGGGGCTAGTAGGAAATACATTAGAGAAATGGATTTCCTTATGCTCCATTAAAGTACATATTTAGAAATACCTGCAGGTATAAAGAAGCACTTACTTGAAGTCAGATTGTTTCAGTGTGATGCAGGTGGGGTTTTTTTTTTGAAAGAAATTTAAACACAGACACACACACACTCTCTCACACACACATAATGGAGGAACACAAAGCAATACGGTAGTCTTTTTTTTCAACGCAGTTTTATTTATATAGCCATTTTTAAAGAGACAGGTTATTAGTCATTTTTGGGGGGGAGGTGCAGAATTGTTTTGCAGAATAGTTTTCCTTCACTGAGCTCTGTATCACAAATGATTTTTTTCCCCACAGCTTCCTCTATACAGAGGACAAAACATGACCCAGATACCCACTCAGTTGTGTTGGGACCCAAGACATGTTTGGATCTGATCAAAGAGAGTTACTTGCATGAATCAGCTTTGACACCGGGACAATCACAACATGTCCTTCATGAGGGACACTTACCAAGAATATTTGCTTGGCAACATACGGACAGTCCTCGACTTACAACAATTGGGACCAGAATTTCCCTTGCTAAGCAAAGTGATTATTGAGCCATGCCCATTTTTACAACTTTTTTTCTCCATAGTTATTGTGACTCATGTCACAAGCATTAAGCAAATCCAGTTTCCTCTGTCAGAAGCCGGCTGGGAAGGTTGCAACACTGGAAGTTTTTAAGAAGAGACTGGACAGCCATTTGTCTGAAATGGCATAGGGTTTCCTGCCTGAGCAAGGGGTTGGACTAGATGAATTCCAAGGTCCCTCCCAACTTTATTATTATTATTAAATGGCAGTTAGGATGTGCAATCTCTGTAAATACATGTCATCCCCATATTTTGATCATATGACTGTGGGGATGCTGGGATAAGTACAAGGATTGGATCATACGTCACTTTTTTCCAATGCTGATGTATCTTTGCATGGTTGCTAAACAAAATGTAAGTGGAGGAATACATACATTCAGTTGAAATGTGCCTTTATTAAACAGTATTTAATAAATATGCATTTATTAAACAGCATGTATTTATAAAGCAGCATGAGGGTAAACACATGCCTCTTTTTTATTAAAATATCTAATTGTTTTTCAGACTGATTTTTAGCTGTGCACTAGAACATTCTTTATTGTTGTTATAAAATATCCACTTCTCAGTAGTTGATAGAATTCTTTCTCTACAAGGCAGTATTGTCTGCAAATGCTCTTTCACTGGTTCCTTCACCTATATCTGGAAGTACAATATTTTCTTGCCTGATCCAGGTCAATCCTTTATTTATCTGGCTGTAACCTTTGCAACAACCTCATGTCAGGCATGCCATTAACCATTTTTATTAAGCATTCATACTTGAAATTATCTCTACTTCCTTCTCATCAAATATATTATCTACAACTGATCAGGGAAAGAACTTGTATTTGTCTTTTCAATACGAGGATGGCAACATTGCTTAGGGACAGCAGACAGGAGAAGGCAGGTGAAATGGAAAATATTCATAAAAAAACAAATATGGATTGGGAATATAAATCTGTTCAGTTATATTTGAAATAAAGACAATAAAAATGAGGCATTATTGGCCAAGCATCTGAGTTTTGCATGCTTATAGAATTAAACTTCAGACAACTGCAGCATTTTGCCAGGCACATAACACACATCTCATTTGGATTTTTTTTTAAAAGTCAAAAAGCAGAAAAGGAATCAGCAAAAATATTAAATAAAATAAAGAAAATGAGTGACATCAGTGATTATTGTACTGTGTAAGACTAACTAGCTCCAGTGCAAATAGCCATGTTTCTTCCCCAAAGCTGAATACTTTTGGTTATTATTTTAAACATACAGTAGATTATATTTGAATAAAAAATAAGCCTATAAAATGTTGCACAACTTGCAGATTAATGTTAAAAGCTGAAGGACTCAAGAGAGTAATCTTCTTCCCCAATAGCCATTAAGATATAGTAGCAATATGCCTACTACTGCACTGCAAGGATTAAATATTTAAGAAATATAAAATATATCAATTTCTAATTTTAGTGCATCTTAAAGCCTAGCAGTGCCTTCCTTATGGAGATAAATCCTTCTGTCCATAAAAAATCCCAATTACTGCACAAGGAGGTGCCAGTTACTTACAGTTTCTATTGTTAACACTTACATATTTATGTGATTTACAATTTCTATAGTACCAAAGTCATTGATTTTACTTAAAAGTTTTATTTTATTTAGGTTTAAGATACATACTCTTTCAAAACTGTGCTGCATAGTTTCCCATCATCCACACAAGGCTTGCTGTCTTCAGGATGAAAATTCTCAACTCACTGAATCTTTTGTTCTATATCAGTGTTTCCCAAACTTGACAATTTTAAGGCATGTGGACTTCAACTCCCAGAATTCCACAGCTAGCGTTGCTGGCTGTGGAATTCTGGGAGTTGAAGTCCTCATGCCTTAAAATTGTCAAGTTTGGGAAACACTGTTCTATATTTAAAAAGAATCAGAATAACAGAGTTGGAAGAAGCCTTGGAGGTCTTCTAGAATAACCCCCTGCTCAAGCAGGAGACTCTATACCATTCCAGACAAGTGACTTCTTCTTAAAAGCCTCCAGTGAGGGAGCAACCACAACTTCTGAAGGCAAGCCATTCCACTGGTTAATTGTTCTCACCATTAGTAAATTTCTCCTTAGTTCTAGGTTGCTTTTCTCCTTGATTAGTTTCCATCCATTGTTTCTTATCTTGCCTTCTGGTGCTTTGGAAAATAGGTTGACCCCCTCTTCTTTGTAGGAACTTCTCAAATAATGGAATACTGCTATAGATGTTTCTTTATTGCATATTTTCAACTTTCTCTCCCATGTCTTTTCATGATCTTTTATCTAATTGTCTCTCAAATTTTTACTATGATTAATTGTGCAGAGGTACAAATATAGACAGAGTCTTCCCACTGATGCACAGTGCCCTGTCCTGTGAAATTGGACGTTGCATCCCAGCTCTGCTTTGCTCTCTGGATAATGCCAGCTATGAAGCAGAACTAAGGATTTTGCAGGTCATCAAAGCCAAGCTCTTGTTCAGTGCAGTGTATCTTTGAGCTATTTAACCTCTCTTCTTTAGAGGCCATCTCTGAGTAATATTCTATGAGACCGGTTTTCAATTGCAATCCTATCTCTGCTGTTCTTAAAGCAAAACAGAATATACTCCTTTCAGACTTTTCTTACAGGGTGCGTTTTCAATCTTCAGACAAATTTCACTTAATTTCTTAACCCACCATCGTTATCTGTAGCATCCTTAAAATGCAATGCAAAACACATGTAGAGATCTGTGTTTTCTTCTCTCACTTCAGCTGTTGGAAGAAGGAACTAAATAATGCACTTGTCACTATATAATTAGATGTTATAGAGGAAGTGTGGGCTGCCTCTCTTCCACATATACTCCTATTTTTTTTTTACTCTTTCCATCCCGATGAGCATAAAAAATATACCTCAGATCCATAAGCTTGTGATTAATGCTGCCAGAAAAAAATTATACAGTGAGATTACATCACCTTTTTTTAATGTGGATGATGTAAGCTGTGATCATACAGGGATTCTAAATGTGATTCTAATTATCCCTAATTTGGCTCTCTGGGGGTCACAAGGAAAGCCAATTCATCCCCACTTTTATCAATATAATAAATCTACAGCCCAGTGTGTTACTAGCTTCTCCTTTTTATTGAGGCAGTGGCTAAAGATTTCTTAGCTACAGTGAAGAGAAAAAAACTAAGCAAAGGTTGCAATTTACCATTCTACCAGTCTCATTCTTCGTTAGTCCAATTGCTTACAAGTAATAGGAAATAATGTGGGTAAAATACAGTGACTAGATGATTTACACCACAATGCATCGTTTGCATTACAATTAGAATACACATAGTACAGCATTACTGAAAACAATAATTGGTGCATTGCAGTTTCTAGCATGGTATTATGCTCCTCCTGATATTCTACCATTTAATTAATTAATAAGATAGGAGAGAAGTACAAGTTCTTGTACTGGGGAACAGAACTACAAATAAGCACTTGAAGTAAATCAATGAAGCAACCTGGTTGTGGGACTGAAAAGGTTCCCTTTTCTTCTCACACTTTGCCCCTCCCTCCCACAAACCTGTCACTGCTGGCACAGTTTCACATAGACCTTGGCTCTGTGAAATTTCAAATAAAGACTGTCAACAATGGGAATGGGAGTGAAGCCTACCACATTTCCTTAAGAAGACACATGGCACCATGTCAAAAGTTGCAAACCTTTCTGGGCTTGTGCAAAAAGATTCTGATTGTTCATTTATAAAACATTATGAATAAAATTCACATAGTGGCCTGAACTGCTTTACTGTATTGATCAGGAATCAAACAAAGATTATTGGTTCAGTTCCCAAGAAGCAAGAAAATAACACTTAGGGTGCAGCTGAAGTTCAGAAAACAGCAACTTTGTGAAGGTGACAAAATTAGCAATAATAAATGTAAAAATATAGGTGGCAGCTCAACTCAAATGTCATACAATATTTTTCATGCATGGTAATTAGATTATACAGTACCAATTTTAATAAAGTTAGACAACATTGACTTCATGCATTTATAAAATTAATTGCCTATAGTATGTACAGAGGATTGAACTGATTTTTATCTTTGCTTTCTTATTGAACAACCTTTCCTCCCCACTCTATAGAGGATGATCTCTCTGAAAAGCAAGTAATTAAAAGGATAATCCAGATAGCCACAACAGTAAGAAGGTGAAGTTCAGGTTAATTGTACTTGCTCACATGATAATTAATTTATCAATTCTGCTTGTTCCCATGTGCTTCATTTTGCTTCTCTTTTTCTAAGATTACACAAACAGACAACAGAAAACGTGAAATCAGTTTAGCTGAAATTTCTGGGTTTTATAAATACATTTTTTCATAATTTGTTATATAGTTAAGAGAGCTTAACCTTCATTCAAGGGCATTTTGCTACTAAGTATTATGAATGATTTTATGTTTGTAACATTTCCATATACAATACATTGTGTATGTTTAACGCAGCACGTTCAATTCAATGTAATTTTTGTTGTATTCACAGTACACAGTGACTGGATAAAATCTTGGCACACATTACCTGGATTAATTTATTAACTTATTATACTTGGCAGAGAAATCAAGCAGAGTCTGGCTAGTTCTATAATCTCTGCACAAAACTAATAAAATAAATCTCATCATATTTATAATTCACTTCTCTAGTTCACTGCTTCCTAAATCAGAACAATAAAGACCACGTATGTTGAATGATTGGTTGGTGGCAGCTTTCAGCCAGTAATTTTAATGTACACTGACAGTCATAATTGTTATAAAATCTCTCTTCTGCCATTTTTTTTCTTTTAGCAGAGATAATGATTTAATCAGAAAAAAACACAGTATTGAAGTGCAAATCTTGAGGTATGGATGTTTCGTATTTTTATATTATGATTTTATTGATGTATAGCACTCTTCCTTAATTAAAGCACTTATAGAAGTCAAAATTCCAGAATTCCTAGGTAGCCTAAACAATGTTGAAAATTCTGAATTGAAACATATATATTAAAGATGCTTAGACTGAAAGATTGTTGCATACAATCTTGATATGTAGATGGTACAGATAGATAGCTAATTCGCATCTTGGTCTGAAAAGTTTTGCAGAGAGAAGAGGGATAAGGAAAGGTGGAGAAAATGGAAGGCTTAAGGGAGGAGAAAGTGGGTTAAGAGGAACATTTTTCTTTCTTTGAAATAATCTAGGATCATTCAGTGAAACTGACTAGCAGGGTGTTCTATATAATGAAAAAGCAGGTTCTATGTAATGAAAATCGAAAGTGCACGATTAATGAAAATCACCACAAGTTTACGTCTTAGTAAAATGGTTTAATATGTAAATTTAGAACATAACTCTATTGGTGTCTCCATGTATATCTATAAGTCTCTATGTAAATTTTAATCCATTTTTTACTTGCTGTTTATTGTAATAGATAATTGCATATGAAATAATCACAAATTGCTAACACATTATAATTATTTTCTTCTCAGAACCTACCTACGGTGTCAGTCATATTTCCTCAGCAATAAATCATATCCAGAAGTGGTACAGTACTTGACAAGTCTATAAAAAAGGTACAAGGACATCATAAAATCCCAACACATGTAATCAGGCTACCATATCCCAGAATGATTTTTCCTCCAAAGTATTGATCAATAGATAATTGAATTGGAGATACCTAAGCCATTTTGTAGAGGCAGGATATTAAGTATTAAGGACATTTGCTGTCTTTGAGTAAAATGCTGACTGCACAATAACCAAAGTCATTGCTGGCCCATGGACTAGGAATGACCTTTAGATGGATTGATAATCTTCACTGCCAACACATTTGTTCACCTGGATAGTTATAGTTAATTTTAATTTATCACATATAAAAATTTTGCTTTAAGTTGATCTCTAAAGTCAACTTCAGAGTTTTTAAGAGTACAAATATGTTAAAACCTATAATACCTTTTCCCAATTTACAGATATACCCTACAGATTACAAGATCCATAATCCTCAGGCAGCCCCATCTTGGTGCTGCTATCTAAAGGAAAGCAAAGAAAGGATGGTGTATGAATTCTGTGTATATTGTCTATTATACCTACTAAAAATGCCTCCAGCAACATATGTCCTCATTTCAAATCCTTTGAAAAAGGCAGACTTATCAAAATCCTGCACAGTGATATTCCAAGTTTAAACACAAGTAATGCATTTTTTGAAGATATTTAGGTTGTTTTTTTAAAAAAGTAGATCCAGTTAACATAGAAATAAAGTAAAAAAAAATAGAATATAATTTTCTGCTGTAACGGCAAGACCAGAGGTGTTCCTCATACTTCCATCTAATTGCAGCTCAACATGCTGAGGTTACCTTTTTCTATTGTGACCTCATGACATTGCCTTCATCTGATCCCTAGTGGAAACCTAAGATTGCCTTAAGATATTATTAGCTGTACCAGTGTTAAATGTAATGTCTTCTCTCTTATCCCAGCACGGTTTTGCCATGGATATTATCTGATCTGCTTTATTAACCACACTGTTTGTGATGTAATCAGTGATCTCTAGAGATACAATCAACCTAGCACTGGTCAGCTCCTAGGTAACATCTTTCAAAGACATTCTGCTCTGTGTTGTTAGAGTCTTTTTCTTCCAAACTGGGTTCTTCCCCTGTATTCTTCAGGTCTTTGAACCAAATTCTAGCTTGGAGACCTAGCTGAACAGCAGCTGATCAGTAATGGCAGATGTTTAGTGACCAAGTATTGTTCTGGTTGCTCTTAAACTCAGTCATCTCTGACTACGGGGAAGAAAAAAAAATAAAATGGAGAGAATCTGCCAGTTCTATACTTTAATATGCCTTGTATGGAGAACCAATCACCATCGTCATCCATGGAGCAAACTAGGGATCAGTGGTAGAGGCAGAAAATGATGCCTTAAGGACTAATACGAGATAGCACTGAGTTGTGGAGAAGCGCCCTAAGACTCTTTTCCTTCGAGCCTTCCTCTTTTTCAGTCCATAAGGAAAAACAGATTGAATTACAGCAATAACTAACTACCTGACAGCTGAAATTGGAATACAGTTTGTGGAGATTATGCTTTGATCCTACTTATTGCCAATGACCTTAGCTTTAAGAAATCATAATTCCTAAAATAATGAGGTACAAAGGTAAAAGTCAGTAGCAGAAATTAGAAGCTGCATTCTCCAAAGAAAGTCACAAGTTCATTCTCTAGAAGAACTAACCGCTAGACTGTTGAGATTAATGAGTAAGATGGAAAAATGCCCTATCTCATCCTCAATGTGAAGTGCCTATTTTCTTATGCTCTTTTCTGATGTGAAAATAGTAAAAAGTAAACAGTATACAAATTCAGGAACACCATAATTTTATTTCCTAAAGGGAAATCACATTTCATGTTACAGTTGAATCAAGCTTTATGTTGGAATCTCAAAATAAAAACAATCCATACAATTGAAACACAAATATTTACTTTTCTGAGCAAGATTGTTTCTAAGATAAAAAGAATATTATATAAATAAGTTCAATAAAAATACTGTAGTCAGACACTCCCCCTCCCATCAGATTTATTCTACCAAGAAGTAAAATAACAACTCAAACACTTGCCAAAACATACACAAAAGGAATGGTAAGATAAAAAGGTATGGGAAATGTTGCCTAGATAGAAGGGATGGATTGTCCTTCATAACAAAGACCCAATTCATTAATCCTAATTTATTCAAGCTGCAAACAGAGATAACAAGCTTGCTATGCCTTTCTTTGGTTATTTTATTATGTAGATTGATTTACAAATCTCATCTCTTCTTGCATCAGTCCCACTGGGTGTGCCACTACTATTTAAAATGGGACACTTGACATGAAGTTACTTGCCAAAAAATCCTCAGAAAGTCCATAAATAACACTAAATTCAAGTCCAGCCTTCTGTAACCATCCTTGTCTAGTATACATCAATACTGTGAGTAATGCTATACATGCCTTATGTCCTTCCCTGAGCTGTTAGCCATATAGAAGCTTCTGCCGTGAACTCCAATGTAAACATATTATCATGAAAAAAAATAAGTCTGCTGTCTACTCAGAAGTCACCTTGGAACAATCTACAAAATTTGTTCAGTTTGCTAGCTTGAATGCATATAAATCTGCTAAACGTGATTAGTATCACAGTCATAGCTTGAAGAGGTACTTAAATGAACAAAAAAGCATTATATAGAAAATAATCATCAATTTCTTTCATATTTCTATCTTTTTTTTTCTTATTTCCTACCATGAACCATGAAAACTCCTGTCTTTTACCAAGATTGCTATCTGATTCTGCTCTTATATCTTTATTTTAAAAGCTTGATTTTAAATGCATTGTAATTTGCCCTATTTTTTGTAATGAAATGCAGTATGACCTGGTTTTTGTGTTGTTGTTTTGGGTAATTGGATTGGCAAGGAACTGATTATAGGAAATTCAGTTGAGATATTTGAATGAGCATTCACATTCAGTGGAAGACATACAAAATGAACATTATAATTTTTCCTATATTACAAATGATAATTTCAGAATAAATACATAGATACCTGTGTGTGTGTGTGCATGTCTCTCTGTGTGTGTCTATAATCTGCCTTTCAAAAAAAATTCACTAAGACAGATAATATTTTCATATAATTATATAAATACATTTAAAGATATGCCATAATTTGTTAGGTGTGAAAGATCAAGTCCACATGTGAAGTTCCAATTAAACTAATTATTACTAAATGTACCTAGGCACAAGAATGTACTAACTAATATCTTGGCATTAGATAAGAATCAATGGAATTCAAAAGGGAGGACTAAATGGTGGTGTAGTGATTAGAATGCAATTGTTGATGTTGTTAGTTGCAAAGTCATGTCCGACCGATCATGACCCCATGGACAACTTTCCTCCAGGTCTTCCTGTCCTCTACTATCTTCTGGAGTCCATTTAAGCTCATGCTTACTGTTTCAATGACTCCATCCAGCCACTTCATTCTCTGTCATCTCCTTCTTTTATTGCCCTCAATCTTTCTAGAATGCAGTACTGCAGGCTAATTCTGCTGGCAGTTCAGCAGTTCGATTCTCACCTGCTCAAGGTTGACTCAGTCTTCCATTCTTCCAAAGTTACTAAAATGAGGACCCAGATTGTTAGGAGCAATATGCTGACTCTGTAAATTGCTTAGAGAGAGCTGTAAGGCACTGTGAAGTAGTATATAACTTTAAGTGATATTGCTATTGCTACCAAGAGTCTCTAAGCTAATTCCTGTTTGGATTCCACTCCCATGTTTTGCCACTCCTTCTCCTACATCACTCCTATCATAAGGAAGGGATGGAAAAACTTTTTTCCTATTGAGGAATACATTCCCATAAGACAGATATGTTGAAGTCTTTATTGTACATCGATAATAGATGAAACTGAAGCAAAGTAGGGTGAGGTGTTTAAAAATAAACAAACACCACTCGATTTAATCTCTTATCATGAGTCATTTTAAAAATTAGCCTGATTGCCACATTAAATTAAACTAGGAATATACATGGAAGCTGAGTGGAAAGCTACACACACTCAGTTTAAATTAATGAACATACAAGTATTAAATATTATAACAAAATTTTAAAATAGAACAAAATGCTTTATATATTAATAATTATCGAGTTTACCATAATATTGTCTACAGTCATAGGCGGTTCATGGAGCTTGAAGTAAATATGAATGAAGAGTGAAGGGATGTTTTGAACTAGAGGACTATATTTCAAAATTACAGTTGGTTGGGGAAGAACTAGTTGGAATACAATGAATATAAGAGAAAATAAAAGGAGCTTATTCTGTCACAAACATTTCTATGTGATTCATGTTTTTAGTTTTCTAATACTGTCTGTTAATTTTGAAGTAAACCAAGTCACATGTTTTTTGATATCCAGTTCTGCCATGTAAGACTTGCTGCTTTCTTCTAAGAACATGCAGTTATTATTTGTGATGCTCCAGGTAGCTTATTGATTAATGTCTAATACATTATAGATCCATTTCCACTGACATAAAGAAGAGAAGCAATGCATCACACACCTAAACATTTTAACTGGTTAACAATAATGGCAAGACAACTAATTTTCAAATATTTTTATAGCTAGGGAGATAAGCCACATGAATAGAAAAGTAACATCTGAAGGATGTTAAAGACAATCTGTGTATTTTTTCAATGATATTTCCTAGAGCTGAGCTGAAGTTATTTTAGTGGTTGTGCTGAAGATCTTGGATACTCATGCGACATCCTTCACCACTGAAAGCAAGATAATGGCAGAGAGAGATAACCTTCCTACACAAATTTTATACTCAAATGCATGCTAAATTAAACATCTATATATCATTAAAATTAAGCCCTTAGGTAACCTCTTAGAGCTTCACATACATTTAGTGTTCAGAATTATTTTTTACCTCTTTGTGAAGAACTCAAATGTATTTTCTTCCTCAACAAAAAGCTGTAGGCTACCTTCAGCTAAGAGAAGATGAAGAAATAAAATTGCCTAGAAAACTTCTGTGGCTGATGATGGACTTGGACAAGGGACTCTCCAGAATCAGTCCAACAAATTAACCCGGTACCATACTGACTCTAGTTAGACATCACAGAACCTCAAATTTTTATAAGAAGAGTTACTAATTCTATATGACATTTCTGAAAAATGTTGAGGTAGATATTTCTAAAAATTTCTGAGGTAAATCATCAGGTCTAGACTGATTAAATTTATATAGAAAGAATTATTATGAATAAATCTGAATGACTAAAGGTCTAAATCTGAATCTGATTTTATTATGAATAAAATCTGAGACCAGTAATAATAATAATAATAATAATAATAATAATAATAATAATAATAATAATAATAATAATTCCGGCTCGAAGGAGGCTTATTTTCCCCCAGTGAGGCACTACCTTGACGTGGTTGTGGGGCTTGTGTACTCTGAGGAAGATGAGAGCTATGCCAGAGGTTCAACCATACTGGACAGGTCTCATCAGAGGAGTCAGACAAAGAGTGTCTCTCCCATACAAAATATGGTGAGACGTAAATTTCAGAATGCCATACCGGCTCGGATGTCGCCCGGGTTAACAAGGTCCGCACGCTAGATATTGGAGTTCCTGGATATCTGGTGAAAAATGGGTTACAGGACTCAGGACTGTTGGCTGAGCAACCAGGGCCAGCAGCTGCAGAACTACTGGAAGAAAAGGTGTTTACCCGTCGCAGATACACAGTGATGGAAAACAAAGAAATAATGATCTGTTACTACAGATCAAGTCCAACAAGACGAGGATATCTAAAACGAATGCACCAGTTCTGGAAAGAACAACATCCAGAATCAGAAATAACAGAACAGAGACTAGCAGATCAACGCCGATTTATAACACGAAATAAAAGTATTCACAGAAACAGAATTGGACGAACTGCAAAGGTTTACCCAGGGCAAAGAAATCAAAGCCTTACAAGAAGTAA